CCCCAAAACCCCAAAACCCCAAAACCCCAAAACCCCAAAACCCCAGATAGTTGGACTCCAATTGAATTATCTTCTTTCAATACAGATGTTGGAGTCCCATTCTGACAGAATCTTCTCGAGCTTGTCATTTTCCCCCTGATAGTAGCCTCCGTACCTTCTCAAGTTCTTTCTAATCGATGGAGACTGGATAATGGAAGAGAGCCAGTGGTCTTTGGTCTCCATTCCATCTTGTAGGATCCTGCTGATCTTGAACTCAACAGAAGGGTCTATTCTAAAGTCAGTGATGGCTCCAGGTACATTTCTAACCAGCAGCCAGACTTCTTGAAGGTGGTGAAATGCATGGAAGATCACCTATAAATCAACAAAGTTATAAATGGTATCATTGACTAATAAGATCGTAAGAATCCTACGAGTGGAACTTTACTTCAAAAGAATAGGCTTAAAGCATAAACTTGAAAATCCTCAAAGAGTGGATTTATGAGTTATCCTCTCAGATTATTCAGATCCTTAGGTCTAGCCACACACTCAAGGCTAAGCTAATCATCACAATAAAGCTTATATATCTCTGGATACTTGTATAATTAAATTTCAGAGAGCTTGGAAAGTCTTCAAAAAGTCTCACAATCCATCAATGGAAGAAAAAGTGAGATTGCAGTCATTTAAAACTGAAAATCCCAAAGGTTTCAACCAAAGTGTAAGCATAACTCTATGCTACGAGGAAGGACGAGTCTCTCTTCTGAGAGTCGCAGACTTACATTGATATCCTTGGCTGTGATCTGAGGCACTATACATTCATTAGAGACAAACATCCAAAAGAAAAGTGTAAGTTAAGCAATCCTTAACGAGAGATATAGCCAGAGAAGACCTATCTTATTTATTCTTAGGAGATTTAGTAAAGTATTCATGAAGAAGCAGCTCTGCTAAACTGAGAGTCTGAGTAACCCTACTTCGTAACTTTACAGAATCGGATATTGCGAAGAGAGAAGCAAGAGGTCTAGCTTACCTTGAATAATAGACATCACTGTGATAAACCTTGCCATTCTGCAGATGTTGATGATGCCTCTCCTCGGGATGCTGTTCTTCCTGTAAGGCACATTAGAATTCCATCAGAAAATGAGGCGTTAAATGTGTTTTCTTACTTATGCAATTCTAATATATCTTCCCACCTATAAAAATCCCTGTGGCTGATTTCTAGCTCATGGTAATACTTTCTCTCCATCCATTGGAGGTGAGTGCCGGGGTACCAGGATCTATCCTTCATAAAGTTGTGCATGCTATATTGGTAAATTTAGTTGACAAAAGCATAATGTAGAGTAGACTTAATGAATACGATATCTTTATCCAGTAGTTTCAAGGCAAAAGAGAGAAGTTCAAATATTCATATTGTAAATTTAGCAATTTACTTGAAATGAGCTGTGAGCTGGTCACTTCCAAAGTTCCTGATTTCCTTCTTGCTCCTCATGCCTAAAGTCACACTCTCCGCTTACCACACTGGCCTTCGTAGAGCTTCTCTAGTGAGTACCCCAGATGTCTGCTAAGAATTCCGTTCTTCATATGGGAATTGGGCGCATCATGATATAGTTTTTCTTGGTTGTAAATTTCAAGCTCAATCGCTCTCAGAGACTCCATTTTTAATTTAAAATTGTTATTCCATCGCATCTTTATACCACGGGGTTTTGGGGTTTTGGGGTTTTGGGGG